GCCTGGTAATGGAGTGAGACTCTGTCTCAAAAAAAAAAAAAAAGTATGGAGGAACCCAAAGAGCTTTTATCAATGTGAGTTGTATCTTCACTATTTACTGTATTAGAAATTGTGGGTATCTGCAATTATTGTAACCTGTATTAGAAGTTGCCAGCCGTGGTGGCTCATGCCTGTAATCCCGGCACTTTGGGAGGCCAAGGGGGGCAGATCACGGAGTCAGCAGGGAGACCATCCTGGCTAACATGGTGAAACCCTGTCTCTACTAACAAAAATTAGCCGGGCATGGTGACACACACCTGTAATCCCAGCTACTTGGGAGGCTGAGAAAGGAGAATGGCTTGAACCCAGGAGGCGGAGGTTGCAGTGAGCCGAGATCTTGCCATTGCACTCTAGCCTGGGTGACAAGGGCAAAACATCTCAAAATTAGAAAAAGAAAAAAAGAAATGAAAAGCCAGAAAAATGTTATAAGATGTATACATTTATTTATAATATTTATTCATTTATAAATAGCCATGACAAACCCATCACATTAATATAAATATATTTTTATGGCAACTAGTTATATATTCTAAAACAAAAGAAATATAGTCAGGAGTGGCATTGTTTTACATTTTTGCAAATCTCTTTGCTTGGTCTAATTGAGGACAACTGGATTCTTACATGTACTTCTTATTTCAATTCGTTGTGATATCTTGTGTCACGTAGCCTCCAGAAAATTCTGCCATTCACTGAGAATGAAAGTGAAAAAGGCAAACAACATCTTAGGATTATTATAAAGACAATTTGACCTCAGAGACCCCTGAAGAGATCCCGGGTACCCCCAAGGGTTCCTGGACCTCACTTTGAGAACCACTGTTCTAGAGCCTATTGGACATAGCCCCTGCCCTCAGGGAGTTTACTGTTACAGGAAACACGGGATCTTGATGCCAAGGGCTCAGAATTCTCAGAAGCGTCATAGTGCCAGTCAGGTGGGACGCAGCAGGGCACAGCACTTTGGGGAGGTAGGCTTCGTAAAGGAGCAACTCCTCCTCCAGAATTTGCCTGGCATCCTATTCCCCTAGAACTTTCCAGACTTTGTGCAGCAAACCCTTTCCATCTCAGTCCCACACTCAGTTTTCTCAGGAGTACAGCAGGAGAGCCTCGTCCCTGGAGCCACAAGTGACCATGGGTTCTTGGCTCCCCTGGGGCTCTGGCTCCCAACCCCCACCTGACTGAGCCCCTCTGACCTGGAAGGACTTTTCAGGAAGGGAAGCCCCCAAGTGCCAGGCTGGCTCCTGCTTTCGTGCAACACGCACTCCCAGGAAAGCCGGCTTCTGCCCTGGCTGCCGGGACATGGTAAGCCCCAGCTGAGGGGTTGCCCCAACACACGCAGGGCACAGACACCTCGAAACTGAGGAGAAAGGCCAATCGCCATCCTCCCCAAACTCAAAGCCCTTTCAGCAGCACAGGGATGGGGGCACCCAGCGGCGTCCAGGCCACTCTCCGGCCTCCCTCAGTCTATCCTGACCTCGGATCTGAGACACTCCTCGGCCATCTCTAGGAGCCCATAGGTGATCAGGGGCCCAGGTCCTCACCAAGGCCAGGCTGCCACCCTTCACCTCAAGGGAGCTTCTTAGCAGCCTTCCAGAACTTTCTAGAGAAAAGTTGGTCTAGAACATCTCAGCACTCTCCACAGGAGCCCTCAGCCTTCATTTTCCAACCTAAACTACTTTTCAACAGGAAGCAGGAGCCACCCCCTTCCCATTCTCCAAACTGCATCCCTCCTCACCACCCCCAGGAAGCCTTCCAGATTGCTCCAGCTAGAAGTGAACCTTTTTCATCTTATACTGAGTGGGCCTTCAGTTTGATTCACCAAACAGCATAGGGCCCTCTCTGTGCCGGCCCATGCAAGGGGCTAGGGATCAGAGATGAACTACCCGCCATGAAGGCCCCCACAGGCTTGACAAGTAAATAGGCGAGGACTACACCAGGGCTTGCTGGGGAAGTGCCAGGGCTCTGGGTTCCACGAGGAGAAGCCTGAGGGTGAGCCCAGGACATTTCCCTGGAGGATGTGACACCCAAATCGTACCTGATTCCTCAGATCCACACTGTAACCTTTGTGGAATCTGACAGCTGGGATTGATGGATCTCTGAGCTGCCTGTGAGCACCAAGATGCTAAGAGCTTGGTTTGTATTTTAGTAGAGATGGGGTTTCACCATATTGGCCAGGCTGGTCTGGAACTCCTGACCTCATGATCCACCCATCTCAGCCTCCCAAAGTGCTGGGATTACAGGCATGAGCCACCG